CGAATCGACTTCCATCAGCTCGATCATCTACGGCAAGCGATAGCACTGAACTTCGATGTCCGCAGTAAATCCGCTCAACTCTGGGTCGCTCTCCTGCTCTGCAAAAGCTGACTTTGAAAGAGCAAAAAATTAGTTATTTGCTTTACGGAGCTCATAGCACAGCAATGTTTACTATCCTCTTCTATACCGTAGTTATGATTATGGCAGTACACTGTTATAAGACCAGATGAAGGGAGGAAATTCACCGTTATGACGAATGATCAACGCAAAGCTTACATGGAATGCAGCTTTATCGTCTTGTCATCAGAACCTGTTAGAATCTCGTCATCATTGGGAAGAAAAGCCAGAGCTCGGATCCGCTTCGAGTGCGCTTAATTCCATATTGAACACAGAAACAACTTTTATGCCAATAAGGAGGTGTAAGTGAGGCAAAAGGCTAAAGCTTCACGTTGAAAAATGGATGAGTGGAATGAATGACAAATAATATGGATGTAATCTGCCACAAAAGGAAAACAAAGTTTGATAAACAGCATAATAGCATTTTATCTGCTTTCAAAGCCACACATAGGGGATTGATAGTGCATACTACAGTCAAGATGAACGATACAAGCCAAAAGTTTATTTATATCGTTCACACATTTATTACACTGATAGCAATTCCATAAAGTCGCAATAACTGCCTCCAAAACAAGAAAAATCTTAAACATACCTTCGATAGTTGTTTCAGACTTCAGCGTCGATGTATCAAAAATGTGTAAGATACCCTCAAAAGAAGAAATAGCGAGGCGGCTGCTGTTATTGCTCTAAAATCATTATTTGAATATCCACATGTACCTATTGTTCTACACAACACCAACATAGGCTATCGCACCAACAGTCTTCGCAGATGGAAACGGTTCCTGCCTAGAAACCTTTCCGCTGAGATCAATCTCTTTCAGGAAACCCGAAAAGCCCACTGGAATAAGTGGTTAATACCGGAGCCAATGAAGACAAGCTGCACTTGCATGTAATGTAATTCGTCTTGCTCTTCGCGATTTTCACATGCCATGCTTCCATAACTCCAAAATCATGTGGCACAACAGCAGGTCCCTCATCCCCAAGAATAACTTCGTAGAACATAGAATCGACTGTCACCAAGCAGATACCTGTTTCTAAGGACGTCTTTTCAAGCTTTTCATATTAGGAATTGG